AATGCAGGAAGCAACTTCCTAATTAGTAACGATTGACAATATCCTATTACCAAAAAAAAAACGATTGACAATATCCGGTTATAAAATTGGAAGCTAGCATGCCATATAGTCTGCGTTTCTCAAAAAGTAATCAAATTCTTGGCTTTGGAGATATCCAAACTGTGAATTTTCCGTTCTAACTTTAGAGGAAGAAAAATGAGTATCACCTGTTATATAATCTGAGTGCGTAGATAATCCACAGTCTCAATATTTACTATCCAATACAACAGCTAAAGAACTTCAAACTTTTCTGTTCTGTTCTTGTTGGATCAAAGAGCAAAACCTTGGTTTTATAACAAGCAGTTAATTCAAGCATGTATAAGTTGTACCTCAAAAGTAAATCTGGGACAGTTAGACAGCATCTTGGGCCTTAAAACAAATGCATCTCTCTCGCAAGCAGATAAGGTATTAAAAACAGGAGACAACAGGAAGTGCTAATTAATAATCTCTCAAATATTAAAAAAAGGAAAAAAAGGCCGAGTCTAGTCATCTGAGGGTAAAATTCTAATGTTGGATTATTTTTAATTTGTTTGTGACAGACTTTGTTTAGTCTTCACAAATACTATATATATATATATATATATTTTTCTCTCTGAATGATGTGCAGACTTTTCTCATTGAATAGAACCTGCCAATTCCCAAAAATAAATAATAAATAATAAATATACATGTTCGAACGCATGAAGCAACTTCCTAATTAGTAACGATTGACAATATCCGGTTTTAAAATTGGAAGCTAGCATGCCATTTAGTCTGCGTTTCTCAAAAAGTAATCAAATTCTTCGCTTTGGAGATATCCAAACTCTGAATTTTCCGTTCTAACTTTAGAGGAAGTGATGGGAATCAAGATGACAGCATATCTATTATATCATGTGATCCATTACACTCTCATTGTTCTCTTTGAGGTTCTCATCAGGAAGAAAAATGAGTATTCGCCTGTTATATAATCTGAGTGCGTAGATAATCCACAGACTCAATATTTACCATCCAATACAACAGCTAAAGAACTTCAAACTTTTCTGTTCTGTTCTTGTTGGATCAAAGAGCAAAACCTTGGTTTTATAACAAGTAGTTAATTACAGCATGTATAAGTTGTACCTCAAAAGTAAATCTGGGACAGATAGACAGCATCTTGGGCCTTAAAACAAATGCATCTCTCTCGCAAGCAGATAAGGTATTAAAAACAGGAGATAACAGGAAGTGCTAATTAGTAATATCTCAAATATTAAAAGAAGGGAAAAAAGGGCCAAGTCTAGTCAGCTAAGAGTAAAATTCTAATGTTGGATTATTTTTAATTTGTTTGTAACAGACCTTGTTTAGTCTTCACAAATACTATATATATATTTTTTTGTCTTTATAATCCAAGTGATTATAATCCAAAGGAAGCACAAAAAATTAAATGGGAAAGTTCATTAATTATTGTTTCACACGTAAAACGAAGGATAGTTTTCAACATTTTGGTTTGGTTAAGGTTATTGGCTTATTGCTACCATTAATTTTGTTAGAATCATTCATTTTAACTATAATTTTGTTAGCTTATAATTTTTTTTTAAATAGTTAATTATAATATTTAAAAATATTTCTTTAGAAATTAATTTTAATTTATTAAATAATAAATATTAATTATTTTATTAATTATTAACTATTTTTAACAATTAAATCAAAATAAAAATAGTTTTGGTGCCTTTAACAAAATTAATAATGACCATAACTATGGCCTTTTGGTTTAGATTTTGTACTTGAAGAAACATGTAAATAAAGATACAAATTTTATCTTTTTTTTTATTTTAAGATAGAAATTTTATTAATTTTTATATAATGTGATAAAATTTTAACATTTTTTACTTAAGATTAATTAGTAGGGATATGATGTGATAAGTAATCTTTCAGTAATTTAATTAATTATTAAATAAAAAATAAAAAATGAATATTTTTAAATACAAAAAATTAAAATTTTTTATTTTATTTAAAATTCGACATAATTTTTATTCTAAAATGAAAAAAAAAGGGACAAACTTCATATCTTTATTTGTATTTTTTTTTCTCTGTACCTGTTAAGTACAACTTCAAGAAAATCAATTCCAGGTACGAAATCACATCATTCGACATTAATTCTACGTGACCCATGAAAAACAGGCACAATAAAGAATGCAATGCGAACACGGCAAGGCAGGATTATGGTTGAAAATCACTATCAGAAAATGTTTTCCTCATTTTTCAAATTTGGTACGGAATTGGTCAATCGACGGAAAAATCATATGCTCTATGAGCGGTGCTAGGGCCACTCGCCTTCTGCACTTTTATTGGGCCACGTTGTTCTGGTTTGTAAGAGGTTGCCCTGCAAAGCCCCAAATAAGCTTACGTGGCCCAATAAAAGGGAAGTGTTGGCCGGAGAGTGCAAAAGGCTAGTGCCCCTAGCACTGTTCTCTATTTTTATTGGGCCACGTTATTTTGATTGGAGAGGTTCAGTTTCAAAAACAGAAAAAGCAAGCTTACGTGGCCCAATGAAAGTGGAAGCGTCGGTCGGAGAGTGCAGGAGGCGACTGCCCCTAGCATTGCTCTATGCTCTATTTGGCGGCAAAAACCTACCATTGGCCCTTTATTTTACTAAATTTATAGGTTTTAACCCTTTATCTTATACTATGATAATTTTAGCCCTTACTTATTAGAATTGAAAAAAATAACCTTCACTTTATAATATTTCGTTAGTTTTGTTAACTAACTATTAACTCTGTTAATTAACTATTAACTCTGTTAACTGACTGTTAATTCTGTTAGCCGAAAATAGATTTTTGTTAACTAACAATCAACTAACAATCAATTAATAGAGTTAACAGAATAGTTTTGTTAGCTGACTGTTAACTCTATTATTAACTGAAAATAAGTTTTTATCAATTAATAGTTAACTGATAGTTAGTTAATAGAGTTAACATTCAACTAACAAAATATTATAAGTGAGCTATTTTCTTTAATTTTAATAGGTGAAGCACTAAAAGTGTTATAGTATAAAGTGAGGAATTAAAATTTATAAATTTAGTAAGGTAAAGGGTTAAAAATAAACTTTTGCTCTATTTGGCATTGTGAGTTTAATTGAAATGTATTTGAATTTGAGATTTTAAATTTAAATATATATTTTTATAATAAATAAAGAATATTTAAATTTATTTAAAATATATATGTTTAAAACTACGTATTTCAAAATAAAAAATACATGTTATTTAAATATCATGCCTATTTCATGAATTTCATTTCTCAATTCTAATATTTTGTCAAATTAAGTAAAATCTTTGATGAAATCTCTAATCAACTTTATCGTTAACCACTTATAATTTTTTTATCAAGGTCTTCTCTCCTTTGATATAGATCTTCTTCTTTTTTTTTTTTTTTTTTAATTTCATAGTGGATGTAATTCTTGGATGTAAATCTTAAATTTATATCATGACAAGCACAATTATGAGTTTG